CCCCTTTTTAAATGTATACCTATGAGCACACACTTGCTCTCTGATCCCTTACTGACACTGTCCCATTAAAACCTGTTCTTAGAAATCCGTTATTGGTCTTTGAATTTATTGACTTAATCACGCAATATAGTTTCAAAGAATAACAATTCCATACGTTATGGCAGTTCCCCGAATATTAAAACATCCACTTTTAAAGGTTTATCACGGAGTGCGAGATTTTACAATCCCGTTCACGGCATTCGGGATTATATTTATGCCTCAATTTTGTGATACGATTTGTGCTGTGCTCATAAATAAATTATGCTCTCGACTAAAACTATTTTACTTATTCCATGCGTCTGATGAAGCTACTTAAAGTCTAATTTCGTTTGCCTTTTTTTCTCTTCATTGTCAAAATCACAAGTATTTTATTGCCCGACTCCTCACCGGAATCGCCGCCGGATTGACGTTGAACGTAGTCGGAGACATGTATTTATCCCTCATAGCCCCCAGCATTGCCTCCCTCTCGCGTTCTGTTCTAGTTAATCTCCCCCTCATTTTGTCCATTCTAAGTGGCAGGCTTCTGCGTCAGTTTACGAGGGAGGGAAGGGAAGGGATTAGGGAAAAGACTATTAAAAACCGCAAAATGTGTAGAACCATGGTAGCGGTTAAACTTTGTTGTAAAGCCCTATTCAATAAAGAAAACCGCAAGTTTTTTTCTTCTTCATTTGATGTTGAGCGCTTTATTCGTAATTTCTGTCTTGTATGTGGATTGTCATTAAAAAGAATTTTTCTCTTTTCTTTATGTGATGTCAAATAAAGACTTAATTGACGTCTATGCATGATGTTATTTTCAATCTATTTTTTATCAATTCCTGTCTCTTTTCCTTCAGTCCTTTAATATCTCTGTCTGTTTCTGTCTCTCTCTCTCTCTCTCTGTATATACATCTCTCAACTGCTTCATTCCCTTATTTTGTTTTCTCTCTCTCTCTCTCTCTCTCTCTCTCCTTCCCTCCCTCCCTCCCTCACCCCTCCCGTTCTCTCATTTTCCTTTCTTCTTTTTCTTCTTCCTCCTCATCCCCTTCTATACCCTTTTGCGTTCCCGGCCTGCTCATCCAACCTCCCCCTCTCTCCCCTTTTATATTTTCAAACTATTTCACAATTAATTTACATAAGAAAAGATTCTCCACATGATTATGATAACTATCGCGACGGTCGGGGAAAAATAGGCGAAGTTCACCATCCGTTTCTCCCATCTCTGATCTGCATGCTCCCTTGACCTCCCAGCCGCAAGCTTGCGGTCCGACATCGCACAACAAAAGGGGGCAGGGTCACTCATGGGCACGGAAACTCATCGGGTGGAAGTTGAATGGTTGAGCACATCTCGGACAAAAGCCGCTCACCGGGCAATGCATTAGGTAAAGCGAAACGGGGTAACAGTCTTCTTACGCGCGCAACAATGTCGTGTGTGCGGAGAAACGCAATGTTTATCATATCATGCTGTTCTTTTTAAATGTATTATATTCAATTTGCATAATGTGCCATCAACATATGCCGATGATAGGCACCCACAAATGTCATTAGAAAACTGCAGGAATTCTAATTCATTAAATCAATATGCACGCAAAATAATTTAGACTTCTACTACGGCTGCTGCTGCTACGACTACTACGTCTAATACTGCTAATAATAATGATAATTACAATGATAGTAATAATAACTATAATGATAATAATAATTATGATTACAATAATACTACTAATAATAATAATGAAGAAAAAATAATAATAACCCAGTTCAAAAGTTCTTTACAAATTGAAATTACTCACAGGGAGCCTCGAAGCTAGTATTTGTTTCCAGTTCATCGTGACTGTGCCATGGACCAGTGATAGGCCTGGTGGTAGAGTTGCTGCCCGACAAGTAATAGATGACAGGTTCAAATCCAGCTGGTTCTTTATTTACTGGGTGCTAGCCGAAATTTCTTTCGAACTGAAATTACCCACAGGAAGCCTAACTTTCGAAGCTGGAAAATCAGATGTGAGTAAGATTGAGGCGAAATATCCCATATTTATATATTTTGCAATCAGAAGATTTAATGTTCTTGAGATGGGCAAATCACAAAATCTCAAAATATTTCTCTTTGAAGATGGGATAAACTTTATCTCCCTCTTATTAAGAAGAAAACTATTTGGCCTACAATTTTCGTATCGGCTAAATGAGGTTACTTTTGTATAACTTGTCTGTCCAATTATTGTAATTATCTTTACAATATTATATAGCGGATCGAATTGACCTGCCCCGATGAAATGAACCCGTTCTGCTTTCTCAATGTTTTCAAAGTATACGTGGCCATTTTACGCTAAATTAAACATTGTCATCAAATTTGAGTTCGTTGTAAACCACCTGCAAAATTATTGGTATTAATCGGGACCAACCGCCCAATATTTTGATGGTAAAGGAAAGAAATACAATAAAAACGGCAAGTTAGATTTCTCATCAACGTCATAATATTTGCTCCTAAAATCACCGCGTTTATAATGAAGAATAAAATGCGGAGCATAACCCGCGGGCATTGTGAGTGAAAACACTTGGGTCGCAAGTAGCGCGTAGCCTGCATGGCGTTTACGTGTGATGCAAGAGTTCCGATTTCACTCATAATCATAATTGTATTCTCGTTTATTAATGAAGGTGTGTTCATAACGTTTAAAAGAAACACCCCCTAGGTGCCGAAGAAAGGCAAGTTCAAACTACAGTATAAGTCATAAAAAGGAAACCGAGATTAGACCCTAAATATCGGTGCAATCATTTCATCAAGATTTAGTCAAAGAGAGATGGCATGTAATGTTTTCTTTAATTTCATACCTTGGTCAATAAAATCCAGTGACGGAGAGATGTAGCAGTTCCCCGATTCATGTTAATTTAGCCTAAGTGATGCCCAAGCTTTGAATAAAATGGGTGGTAAACGCAAGGTTGCTTCAATATTTTCTATTCCAAATAAATGCCTCCACGCCTGATGAAAGCAACTTCTGAACACAATCCATCTCTTGCAAGGGCGATTTATGGCATGCTTTCATTTGAAAGAATAGCCAGTCCTCATTGTCATCCGTAATCGCATTTTGACGAGCAGCTATCATAATTGTTAAAGAGAACTGTATAAACTTTTATACCGCTATAGCATATGTCAGCAAATTTTGAATGCTTTTTAAGATATCGGTGTTTGAATACGGGTATCCTTTTATTGACTCACTCTGTACAGGCGGTTTTAATCAAGATGTCTTTGGATGGCGATTAGACCGCCCTCTAGGTGGGTACGGAAGAAAGGGAAAGAGAACACAGAGAGGTTGAAAGAAGTATGTCAGTGGCATTTCAGGGGGAGGGGTGGGAGCATGGGGGCATCTCCTGGCAAAACCCAATACTGTATATCCGAGGAAATATCAAGTATAAAACGAAAATGTCCTGCAGTTTATTTCCCCAGCATAATAGTTAGACTCGAAAGAGCACTTGAAAATTGATTTTAATCAGAGAATATTTGGGGCCTAAAACGCATTACGAAAACCTGCTAAGCTTCTTTCCAGATGATTTTGTGCTAAAAATGTACCGCTAAATTATGACGACCCAACCTTTTTTGTGTCAGAGAATTGCAGAAGTGCCCCCCCTTCAAACGATTTGTTATGTTATTCTATTGTTACAAAATCTTCCTCTCATAATATTATGAACCGCCCCACCCCCCTGCAACGATAATGTGCACAAATGAGATTTTGGAATCTCTCTAACTTTCTAACGAGGGAAATTTCAATAGCCGTGACCATGACATACTACCATGGACTATGACGTAATCCGAACGCTATGTATATGAGACAAACAATATATGGTATTTAAAGCCCCAGTGTCCTACTTGTAGCTACTTGCTCCCTCTATATAGAGAACTTCCCCAGTCGGTGCCTGTTGGTCCCCCGTGATCCCCTTTTCTTATGTTAGTTGAGAGCTGAGTTAATGAGCTGTGTGGTCTAATCCCTTCTGGCCCAGTAGTGTTGACGGTCATTAAATTGCCCTTATTAAGCTGATTTTGCAAATGTCTTTACGCTCGACAGGTCTATCTTGTTATTATTCCTCGCTCATCGAAGGGTACAGATTGATTGAATTCGCGGTGTTTGGCATGACGATAATCTACATTTGCCTCTCTCTACACATGTGTAGTAAATAGATAACCAGTGGGAAGAAATTTCTTGACAGTTTCTGCATCTTATCATGGTAGCTCGGCTTAACTGGGGGCAATAATTATGTTTGCAGGCCCTCAGGAAGAACAGTATTAATACTGATGAGGCTACCCTGGAAAATAAGACAAGTCATACTATTATAAATATCATTAATTTGTTCGTCTTTATCCACTGCGAATCAAGATGTATAGCTCATTCACCAATTGAATGCTTTCGATACTCAGTGCGGTATTCGGGGGTTGCAAGATCACGTCCTAGAGATTTTAAAAAAATCTTTCTCTCTCTCTCTCTCTCTCTCTCTCTCTATCTCTTTCTCGTCCAAATACTTCCCTCTCCCTCTTCCTCTCTGTTTCTAAATATTATCTCTCTGTCAGTCGACATTTTAAATGAAATTTTTGAAAATTCGCATTTTTGCCTAGACATAGACCTGACTTGGTAAGCGCTAGCTTAAACATTCAGCAAAACACTCACCAAAGAAAAATGCAAACCGTTTTTTTTTATCTCTTTAGTTCTTCAGTGGAAAAAAGTGCCCAATTTCGACAAAATTATAATAGACAAGTTCCATATATCAATTCAACTCAAACCTATCCCTTGTTTCATACGCTAGAAACAAACCGGATGGTCTCATATCATGCATGATGATTGATGACATAGATGTACATTGTCTTATCATCAATGTTTTCATTTTATCATCAATAGTTTTGGTTTTGGTTCTACTGTTGAGGAATTTTGCGCAGTTCATTCCAGACGCCATCTCCCGTCCATAGTAGGAACAACAATAACAATGACAGATTTACAATGCGCATGCGCAATACGAGCATCGGAGAACATGATTATTTTCAACATGGCAGCAGGCTCCGCTGGGGAACCGGGTCCTCCACCGTGTAAAGTCGGCGATATCGTTACTTGCAAGAATTGTCTTGAAGTTAATATTGAAGGAGAAGTTTTGGCCTATGATCCGACTAGTCGACTGCTCGCCCTGAGTATCCTTTTATTTGCAAAATGCGATTTGAAAATGACGTGTGCTCAGTCCAGATGCACGAAAGCAAAGTTGGTGGTGTTACACAGTGCACACACAGTTAACTTGCATTCGAATCCTGATTCATTTTCTGGAATCACAACTCAGATTCTGTGCAGTGAACATGGTGAAAATCAATCAGAATTGACTTAATTTCAACTAATGTAGATCTATGCATCAAACCCGAACCCATATTAAGAAGAAGATAAAAGTGAAATACAAAATTTGTGTGAAAAAAAATCATTTTGGTATTGGGACTTTTCAGTTTCACTTTCAGGTTGTGGAATTGAATGAAACACCTCGGGCTCAAGAAATTATCAAAATCTGCCGAGAGTAAGACTCAAGAAAAGTGTCTCATTGTCTGTTTTTGTGTGAATATGACTTTGTATTTTGGTATGTGTGTGTGTGTAAGTTGGGATTTTACAGACTTGTATCAATTCTAGATTATGATTTACGTCTGGGGACCAAAGCCAAAGTGGCAAAGACTTGCCTTTCAAACTCAAAGTTTAATGTCACCATCCGAAAGATGTGACTCAGTTTCAAACCGGGGTTAGAGAGCTATTAAAACAAGTGAATCCTCTTCATCTTAACTGCCGAATACCCCCACACATATGAGATGAGCATGCGCACATGGAATCCGGTAGAGTTAGTGATAGGTTATGAATTAAATGTGCAGGGTATTCTGCAGTTGTTCCCATTTATACTTTACCTTTACCTTTACCGCAAATACTGGAAGAATGCTGAGACAGCAGTCAAGCTTCCAGGTCTATCTTCTTGTACTCGTACTCTTTAATAATAATTCTCATTATATACAATTTTTCATTTTAGATCTATACCCCAATTAATATTGTCTGCCCCATTATCCACAGTTCTCATCTTCTTCTTCTTGACTTCATCCAGGTTTTGAGAACTGTGTAGAGTGGGGCAGACAATATTACATGTAATTGGGGTTCATAATAACCCTGTAAACGATCATTGGATCGGACGCCAACACCGATCCGATCAGGGGTGATCGGACGATCATTTCCGATCGCTGATCACTTAAAATGATCTGGAAATAATCGGCAGAATATTTTTTTTTTTTTTTTTTTTTATGACGAAAATTTTCAAGTTTTTGGCTATCAAATGCTCAAAAAAAATTAATGGCTAGGATTATTTTGTCATTTGGAGTTGTTGGAGTTGTTGTAGACCATGTTTGTTGATATTTAGTGCCTTTTCATGACTTTGAAATTAATAATATTGGTCCAAGAGCAGAGGCAAAACATGTGGGCCGCCAGCTTGGATTATAATGCATACCTACATTATAATCCAAGATGGCTCCCGTATGTTTTGCCTCTGCTCTTAGACCAATATTATTAATTTCAAAGTCATGAAAAGGCACTAAATATCAACAAACATGGTCTACAACAACTCCAAATGACAAAATAATCCCAGCCAAGAATTTTTTTTGAGCATTTGATAGCCAAAAACTTAAAATTTTCGTCATTAAAAAAAAATAAAATACCTACATTATAATCCAAGATGGCGGCCCGCATGTTTTGCCTCTGCTCTTAGACCAATATTAATCATTTCAAAGTCATGAAAAGGCACTTAATATCAACAAACATGGTCTACAACAACTCCAAATGAAAAAATAATCCCAGCCAAGAATTTTTTTTTTTTTGAGCATTTGATAGCCAAAAACTTAAAAATTTTCGTCAAAAAAAAAAAAAAAATCAGCCGATTTTTTTAGTCGATCTTCCAATGCGATACCGATCAAAGGTGCGAGGTGTCGCTCCGATCTTCTGATCCGATCAGAGCCCCAACTTACAGGGTTAGTTCATAAATGTATCTCATAATGTATATCATAAATGCTTCAGTCTCTGATATCGACGGTTGTTCCGCTGAGATTGCATCTGGCTCTTCTGACCGCCTCAATACATGTAGGGTGTCTGGACAATTTTTCAATTTGGGATCATTTTTCACCATTTTTGTTTTATTTGTGAATAAAAAATATAATCAGAATAATACATTTCAAATTTCAAGACTCACCGATGTTTCTATCAAAAGATACAGCCCCTCCAAAACTCTGCAATATTCATAGCATTTTGGTCAGACTTGACGAAAAAGAAGTAAACGCAGAGTTATGTTGTTTTGTTACATTTAGCCAAACAGCTTGATCGCGCAATATGCATGCGTATGCATAGCGTACGCATGTTGCTAAGCTGAATGCGACACTAAGCACGTTGTCTACGCAATACCTCCACTAACTATAATGTGCATTCACTTCCGGGTATGAGAGCGCAATCTGCAAGCCATACCTCCATTCACTATAACGTGCACTGTGTTTTGGTAGGTTGACCCGGAAATATATCGGCCGGGTCATGTCATAGACTACCAGTTTGAATGGATGAACATACCGTTTCACGGTTCTGAGATAAGAATTGGATAACTCATACATGTACCGTAAGTACTGTACATGTAAGTCCGTAAATTTCGCATTTTGAAATAAGTAATAAAAAGTTGCATACCGGTAACTGTAAATAGGAGAAAAATATACATTTCTATCTGATTTATAAATCAGAAAATTAAATATTGAAAATCGGGGCAGAAACTTTCTGAGTAAAAAGAGGTACAGATATTGGCCAATCTAACCCCCCGGTGCGAGTAGTCTGGGATACCGTCTGTGTAAGGGGAATGTAAGCAAATGTCAGTTTTATTAAAGAAATGACCCATATCAGACGGTTATTTCTGTCTAATGCAGGAGTTGCTTTGTTCACAGAAGATCGTTTAAAGTGCTTTTCCAGGATGAATTTTAGGGATGCGGCATGTCAATCCAGGGCCTCTGCAGTTTGGGTGGGTAATGATCGACTCCAAGGAGGAGGAGATTTGTGGTGACAGTGACAGCCACAAAATGGTGAGGAACTGATGTGGTTGGTGTTGACTGCAAGTTCTTGATGAAGTCTTCCCTTTTGTCTTTATATAGCGGACATGCCCCTATCCAGAGCTGCCAACCATTTCGTTTTTGCCGGAATTACTCCAATTTTCCTCCAAGTTACGATATTAAGTTTTTTCTTCATAAAATACGTTTTGTAATAAATTTTTGAATAATTAAAAAAAAAAAAAAATTTAAATTTATTTATTTATTTTTTTGTTTTTACCACACGTCAAACAACTGCCCTTAAATGGTGATTTGATCACAAATTCAATAGAAAACTAATTTTTAAACATACTTGAAGAGAAAAATATTCTCAAAAGAAATGAAATGCCGATAATACAAAAATAACCACCAAAAAAATTACCTGCTTGTATGGAAAAAACGGCACGATGAATGAACATTTCTGCATTGGAAGTGTGTCGCGCGTGGTTATAAGTTTCTTTTTCATGAATTCCTTTTTTTGGCTTGAAATTCCTTTTTTTTTGCCATCATGATTCCTTTTTATGGTCGCACAAGGTTGGCAGATCTGCCTATCAGATGGTTGACTATTTCATCCGCTGTCAGGCAGGGACATGCTGGACTCTGTAAGCCATTTGACAAGGTAGCCAATCTTTGGTTGGTTCGGTACATGCCGCAAAGTATGGCATTTGATTGGGATGGTTTGTCTACTTATTATGGGGTTCTCCTGGGAAGAAGGCTAGCCAACATGTTGAGGGTTGCTTTGATGGATGTTGCAGATGCTGTATTTTCATGTCTGTGCTCTGAGAATCTGAGATGGTGGATTTGACTGTCTTCTTCCAGGAAAAATATGGGATTGGCGAATTGCAGAAGCTCCTGTATGGGTGGTAGCTGGTAAGTCGCTGAATGAAGCAATATACCTGGTGCTAGGATGGTGGCATAACGTTGGGAAGAAGACCCTGGATTCAAATCTGCTGTATGAGGAAAGCAGCAGTTGGTCGAGAAGTCTCAGTTGCTGGATATGGAGGCTGTCAGAGATACATGTAGGTAATAGTCCTGTGAGGAGCTGTTTTGCTTCGATAGCTACGGTGTGAGGGAGTCCGAGGATAGTTTTCACTTTTGAACATCTGGGTCTGGGCCCTGTCCAAGACTATATCATCTTAGGGATGCAGAACTTCTCTCATAGCCAGGATTGAGTAGATGTGAGGGGGTAGGCCCCTTCTGTGTGCCCCAACACCTGTAAGGGCGTACATCATTCTGTTACCAGTTAGGCCTGTAACCGATCATCGGATCGGGGGCCGATCTTGGATTATAATGCATGCCTACATTGTAATCCAAGATGGCGGCCCGCATGTTTTACCTCTTCTCTTAGACCAATATTATTAATTTCAAAGTCATGAAAAGGCACTAAATATCAACAAACATGGTCTACAACAACTCCAAATGACAAAATAATCCCAGCTATAATTTTTTTTAAAGCATTTGATGGCCCAAAACTTGAAAATTTTCGGTATTAAAAAACAAAAACAAATAACTCTGCTGATTTTTTTTGCCGATACCGATCACAGGTGCAAGGGTGTCGCTCCAATCTTCCAATCCGATCAAAGCCCCAACTTACAGGGTTATTACCAGTGGACATCATCCTGGCGCTGGGGTCTGATGGGCAAGCCGAGCGCATGATTCCAAGATGAGGGTGCATCTCCATCTGCCAGTCTGGGGTATCTCATTCCTACGGTAAAGGAAAGGAGAGGTTCTGGAGGATCCCATCATCACAATGGCACTCTTAGACTACAGGCGTTGATGGTGTACCGCCATTTGTACCCCTAGACCAACTCACATCTCCCTATGTGGGGTATGTTGGGTTAGGGCACACCAGTTAAAACGAGTGGTTGAAATATGTATGTGTATGGGGATAGCCTAGACTCTTAGAAAGCCTCTGGAAAATTATTTGGAATTCGTCCAAACTCACAGCGAAGAGATCTAAACGTCCAAAACACTTGTTTACTGCTTGCGTGCGGGCAGCTTTATTTTTGCTTACTGTCCAGACAAATGACACAATCCTCGGGCCATATTCTGCACCGAGCCGGGAGGACGCTCAGCCCAAGAGTTGTGACCTCAGCAAAAAATAAACCTGTCACATTGGCCATTGGATTGAAGAAATTTGCATCAAATAATGATTAACACTGTAAATATTTGTCAGTTACAACAGTGGCTAATATATGTTTAATAATATTCATGAAATGTTGTAGGCAAACTTGTTCAAATTACTGTTCAATCAGCCAACTGGTCCCGGGCATACATTTTGTGGGAATACAGTTTGAGAATTCCCAGACGAAAGTAAAGTACATGTACTTAACAAATATTTTTTCTTTCCACTTTCGCAAATAATTCCTGAAACAACTATACGATGTATTTTCAGAATGAAAACTTTAATCTGATCCAAAAGCTATTTGATATTGCGCCTTTTCCTTGCGGTTACAAAGCCCTGCACACACTGCTCCACAATGTTTGGGCCACTTATAAACAAAAGTTAGCCACTTCTTATTATTGTCATATTGTAGCATTATACCTTAACCATCGATGCCAGAAAAACCTCCCACGTCCAGTGAGAGAAAGAACTTGTGCGATATCTGCATTGTGAACCTCAATCTAGTGAGTGATTTCCAAGTCAAACACGAGAATGCTGAACCACCACGGGAACCACCCTCCCTTGACACCAACAAGGTAACTATATTTTTTTACGATGACCTGGGGTCATTTTCTCAAAACCGTTGTATGTCTAAACATCGCCTTGAAACTTGTGATATGAATTAAAGGGCGCGTTCAAGTCATTTTAAAAATCTAGAATCACAAATCAAACACCGTTTATTTTCAGCGTTTCATGTTTGCGTTTTTAAACACGTTTATTTTTACGACCAAAAAAAAAGAAAAAAGTGTTGCTTAAATGATGTATATCCACAAGTTTAGGTACACATTTGATGGTTTGAGAAACTGACCCTGTGTGATATTGAACTGTGGACTATACAAGACAAAAATTGAGTTTGGAGATTTCCCCCAAACCCTAGAAATGCCACTGTGACAAAGCAGTCCCTGTAAAATCATTTTTTGTTGCTGACTTGTACATTGTAAGGCATTTAATTTCTGAAAACAGTATCTTGGAACAAATTTCATTACCATTTAAAGAGAAAGTTGAGTTCTGGGAAGAGGTGAAAAATAGTTCGTGAGCATTATCATTGTTATTATGCAAGGGTGGAAGATAATCAGATAAAACATGTTCCCTGAAAAGCATGGCTCCTCAAATGCCTTCATATTCTAGATATGGCTTGTAACATTGTAAAATTTGGGACAGATTTTTTACGCTACGTATTCGTGTAGTCCCATATACATTCTTCTGTGTACAGTGCTTGTAACTTTACCAAGACTGGGCCAAATTTCTTATTATTTTGATGATTCCAGAACCTTGCAATACACATAAATACTTATATGCTAGATGATCAATCAACCTTTTCTGATCAATTCCACACCGTTTCTTTCACAATGTAATCGCATGACCAGAACTCAACTTTATCTGTAAGTTTGTGCCATCTTTATCAATGTGCATGTATTTAAATAGGCTCTTGTTATGTGATTACCGGTAGTAAGTTGGTAACTCTGAAGTTTATTGAATTCTTTATCTCTTGAGGCAGGATAATACTATTAAGTCTGTGTTCCAGTAAATATGAGTTAACACCCACCTTGCTCCTGACATACAACTTATTACTGTCACTCTACCTCAAGGTAACATTTAAAATGGTTTCTTAACTGATTAAAAAATAATATTTTTTGGACTAATTCCAGTTCATGGTTAACTCACATTGCTTTCAAGATACATTTTAATATGGTTCATCTAACAAAACCAGTGATGCCACATGTAATTGGGCAATAATCCATATCCATAGGATACCCAAATGGTTTGACCTTTGACCTTTGATCTCTCTCACTTTTCATTGCAGCTGAAGAGAAGAACAGACGAGAACATTACCGAAAAGATGATTCCAGAACCTTGTAGTACATACCAATACTTATATGCTAGATGATCAACCTTTTCTGATCGATTCCACAACGTTTCTTTCACGATGCAATCGCATCACCATAACTGGTCTTTATCTTTAACTCTAACATTTGACCTCTCTCACTTTTCATTGCAGCTGAAGAGAAGAACAGACGAGAACATTAGCGAAAAGATGATGTTGATCCAACTAAACAGCAAGGGAATCAGTAAACAAGGAATACAGCTATACCAAACCATCAAGAAGACGTGAGTGTTTTAAAGTTTTATTTTAGTTTTAATTCGTCTTTGTGTTGTACTGTTGTCTTCTTTACATTGTCTCACATTTTTTTCTTCTTTTTTTTTTGTGGGTATTATATCTAGGGTGATTCCGTATTAGAAAGAAAGGACCTTTTAGACATTTTCTACCCTGCTGACTAGTACCGAGTGAAACCTCCATACAGAAATACATGTACAGTACAATTGATAACAAATTATTTTGTGATCATTAAAGTGATACCCGAAGAAGGGAACATGAAATACATTCTCTTCACAATGGAATTCATATTTATTGCAGTAACTTTCACACAACTTGAAACTGTAGGTACTGGTTTTGCATGTGTTTGAGACTTTTCATTGTGCATTTTGACTATTGCAAATATGTTAGAGATGGATCTGAAAAATCATTTCATTTGTTGGAATAGATTCATGACACTGTCTGAAGATCACTCAAAATAAAAGATACATACCGAGATGACAGAAAAATATTTTTTATTCATTTATTTTGTTCATATAAATATGTATCTATAAACTGATCTCATTTGAGCAGATTGAAGTGCAGATGGGTTGAGGATAAGATGATTGTCAATGAAGATGACAGAAAAATATCTTTCATTCATATATTATTTTCATATAAACATGTATTTATAAAATGATCTCATTTGACCAGATTGAAGTGCAGATGGGTTGAGGATAAGATGATTGTCAATGAAGATGTTCACGTTATACCACCGTACACTGCTGCCTGTTGCTCTGGACCAGAAACTGCCGTTAACCACATCAAAAACATTGTAAGCATACATCGTACGTCTTGCCCCTTTCCCACATTGTAAACATATGACTGTGTTATACAGTGCTTCCTAATTTGACCTAATAAAGTCAGTCATCATAATAATAATAATAATCTCGATTTATACAGCTCTTAATACGGATTACCCTCTCTTAGCGCTTTACAGATATTATTATCTCGGTCAACGGATTCACTCACAATGTGCACCATCTCTACTCCCTGGCGATTATTGAGGGCGTATGGCAATTACTAACACAAATGCTGGGTCATCCTACCAAGCCCCTCTATCTCTCTTGGGTATTGAGCGGCAATTGTAGATTAAGCCTTGCCAAAGGACATTAGTGCCGTGTCGGGGATCTAACCTCGACCCTTAATTTTCGAGTCAAGAGTTTAAACCACTCGACTACGACACTTCTACGACGGTCATTTTGCCAAACCAACTCCAGACGTACTCCATTTGATGTACAAGTCTGGTGTCGGCTTCATCGGTGTGACCCGAGTCATTAGATAGACCCCAGTAAACAAGTAAAAAGTATTACTCTCCAGATATTTACTTTTTGATAATAGACTTCTTACCTTTACAAGCTTCTTATCAATAGATGTGCTATACAGAGATACGTGTATAGAGATACTTAACAGCTATGAAAACATTAAGCTTTCTCTAATAGTTCCACATTTTGTAACCCCAGTCCAGAATAGGTTGAATTTTGATGAAGAATATATTTCCTTTCATGGGAGCTCAGCTGATATGGCCGATAGATACTACAGGTCCATATAAACTTTGCTTTATTGCATGATTTGGGATTCCGTGATGAGTTTTTTTAGTTGATTAATTGTTAACATACATGTGTACCCTTAAAGGCATCGTTTAACAATGTTAAGTCTGAGTTGCATGGCTCTATGTGTTATCAGTGTCTGCAATGTGGTGTAATATTGAAGCCCTAAAAAAATGATCAATAAATGCCTCAAAAAAGTAAAAATCTTTGAGTAAAAATCTTTGAGTGACCGGTTTTACCATACTTGTTTTCCCCAATAGACTGTAGTGTTATGAAAACCGTTTGGCAAACGGTCTTCAATATTTGTAATTCCAATAATAAATATCGTGATAATCAGACAGGCAATCGATCGGCTTGTAAAAGTCATGGCGTTCCTGACTGACTTATAGGTTTATAATTATGATTGCAGCATGATCTAAATCCAGGATTTTGTTTTATAATCTGAGACAAAGTTACCGGATCCCCTTAAAGAAGTCTTTGCAGAGTCCCAGGTATTAAAGCTCGAATACAAAGCTTTCTCACCCAGACTAAAGGCAAGCTAAAGCATTGCCCCACCTATTGTCTCTTGAGTATGTAGCTTTCTCACCCAGGCTAAAGCTAAATCATTGCCCCCACCTATTGTCTCTTGAGTATGTAGCTTTCTCACTAAGACTAAAGCTAAAGCATTGCCCCACCTATTGTCTCTTGTGTGTGTAGCTTTCTCACCTAGGCTAAAGCTAAATCATTGCCCCACCTATTGTCTCTTGCATGTTGCTTTATCACCCAGACTAAAGCTACAGTCCTGTCCCACATACTGGATTTTGTGTATTTTGTTTCTTTTCCAGATCGAAAAACACATCAGAGAAAGGAAGGGTTCATTATGACAATAGGCCAGACAGCATGACCATTGGGAAAAACAAACAAACAGAGAGGCAAGAAGATGGGGCAAGTGGACCAGGGCTAACAGGACCAACACTCGTGACAGGGAAGTGAGGAGCCATCGGGCAAGTGGATTACGACAGGGAACAGTACAGCAAAGAAAAAGGAGAGTATGTGCGTAGACGTCAGGACAAGTGCAGGTACATGCTGGAAAGAACAATGAAGCTTAGCAGTGACCAAAGGGACTGAGGATCATCACTTATACCTAGGGCAACTGGGACAACCAGGAATACTTAATGTGCACCAGCCAACAAAATGAACCATTCTTCTTATTTTTGTTTGTTTTGGAAATGTTTTCTAATCATCTGTTTGGAGCCAGAAGGGCATTAAAGGTACTATGTCCCATTTGCAGGCCAAAAAAATGAAAAGGTTAAATACCAACGGCATTTGAAAGATAATACTAGTTTAGAACTTCCCTTTAAAAGGTGGGGCTTGAAAATGTCGTCAAGTGGGAAAATAACGACTATAAGTTGTCGAATCGACTTAGGAGCTATAGAGCCAATAAGTAATAGTCTTGATTTTCAGACCATTGTACTGAATTGTCATACGTTTTAATGCCGCGCAAAGATTCAATCAGTTTAATTTTGGCCATCACAAGAAGTGGGTTATGTTGATGTAGACAAATGCTCATGTACCCTTTACAGCTCATTTTATGTATTTTATTATCAAAGAAGGCAAAAAGTCACTCAATAGTGTCTGACGGTGAAGTCTAGCAAGTAAACAGGTTTCCTTGCATAATTTGAATATTAGGACAATGCTAACATTTAAATTTCACAGATAGGACATACACAACATATTCATAATTCTTGCAAAGTTCTACATAATTTGAGGTTGGCTGCAAAAGGGACATAGTACCTTTAACTCAGAAGAAAGAAAGACCACATTCTTTGTTTCCCTTGAAAATGGTTTCTCATTGAACCGTGTACTAAAGGAACCTGTACACCTGCATATAAAGGCCACTTTTCTCGTCTCCCTTGGGTGGTCTTTATAGACAGGTTTCACTTTCACTTCAGTACAGAGTTAATGTCCTTCTGGCTCTTCTAAAGGATTGATGGTGAAGAAACACTCCACACAAAATATAAATACCGGTACCTAATATGACCTCTTGAATGTGCTGAATGTGGGATGACATGTATGATAAATCTAACCACATCATCAGGGGGGTGTTTCACAAAACTTGTCATCAGTGACAAATGACAGTTGTTGTTATGAGCTACTGAATTCCTTGCTTCTGATTGGTTATCAACAGATTTGTTACTGATATTTCTCATTTGTCATTGAAAATAGGCTTTGTGAAACGGGTCCCTGTATTCTGTTTAAATGGCAGATCTGTGCATTAAATTAAACCCCATTCCCAGGATCCATTCAATAAAAAGCTCACTTTTTTTTCCTTTGAGGTGTGCTTTTGCAACAGTATGTGCTGACTATAATCAGGCTGGTTCGGGCATGTTACAGTATATCTTTTGCTACGCGAGACCAATTCAAGAAAAATTCCACAGATAATGTTAATGTTCTCTTCACCAAGTCTGGCTGTTAACGGGTCCTCCCCTCTGTTTAAGTCTCTCTTAAGCTCTGTTTGGTCAGTTCTGTTCACATATTGCTTGCTGAGAACCAGTAGTGCTCATAACTCATAACCCTAAACTGAGCGGTTGCCCTTCTGGCTTTCTGCAGACAATATCTGGTAGTGTCTGTAGAGCTCACCGATAATGTCCTAACCAAATCTCCACTTTCCTGCTAAGTGTCAATTTTTTTTTCCCTTCACATATTGCTCGCTGAGAACCATCAGGAGTCATGATTCATAATCCTCAACATGGCATAAATAGTCTGTTTGGATTCAGAAGAGCAGTAACTCCTAGATACTTTCACACAGAGCTAACGCCCTTCTGTCTCCAAACAGACAATATCTGGTAGTTCCATAGATGAACCTCTTCTTAAAGGTAATACAAAGTTTTGGTATGGGGTCATGAATTTGGTTCAAATGAACATATTGGAAACAAATGCGATCCCACATTATTAAGTGATCGTTGTCGCGTTAGAAAACGAGTCTTAAGTTTTGAAATTGTAAATAATAAACTCTTTATGTTGTATAGCTCCCTCTCAAGGTCAAGATATTAATTACGCTATAAAACAATGTTTCCTGACTAAAATCGACCGTTTAGCTATTCCCGTTTGGAAATTATATATCACAACTACATATACTGAGATTTTCATGGTCGCATCTAACATTGTGCTATTTGAAATTTATCAAAATGTACAGGGAGCACCGGTAACTTTTTATATTCAATTTTTCTTGAAAGCAGAAGTGTTTTAGGGGCTAATTTTTCTAGTGCTTATAATACATCCACAGGGGCATCCAAATATATCAAAATGGTAAAGAATCACTATCCACCCAATTTTTAAAATTTCCCAATACTTTGTATTACCTTTAAACATATATATATGGTAGTGCCCATAAAAGCTTAATACCTAATGTCTGACCACAATCTCCACTTTCCTACTCGATGTCAAATGTTTTGTTGAAATTCTTCAACATTGCATAAAGAGTCTGTTTGGAATCGAAAGGGCAGTAATTCCTGGATACTTTTACACAGAATTACCCCCCTTCTTTCTTTCACAAAGTTTCACAAAGCCTTTTTTCATTGACAAATAAAAAAAATAAGTGACATATCTGCTGATAACCAATCAGAAGCAAGGATTTCACTAGCTTATAACAAAAACTGTCATTTGTCACTGATGACAAGTTTTGTGAAACGGAGCCCAGTGTCTTTAAAATACCTCCACTTCCCTACGTAATATCTAAAGGCAGAATTCATATTGCGGTCTCTCTAAGCTGTCTGACTCTTCATGTCATGCTGTCTTCCCCATTGTTCTTGTCTTTAAAAATAAATAAATTGGGGGGTTCCTCATCTCCCTCACCTGAACACATAAGAATAGAGGCGTGCTGGCGGTCCAGACATATTGGATTGAATAATTTCTTAATCGTAGAAACTTAATTACACTTCACTACATTGTTGGTCCTTTTCTTCATGATGAAGTGTAATGAAATGTAATTGATTTCTTGATTTATGTTCTTGATTTTTTTTGGTAATTATTATTGTAGTTTTATATTATAATTATTGTTACTATTGTTATTATTATTATTATTATTATTATTATTATTATTATTATTATTATTATTATTTTTCTTCTTCTTTTTTTTTTTTTTTTTGGGGGGGGGGGGGGAGTTCAATTTAAAACAGTATGATAGTAAGCAATAAGATGAATAAAAGTTCCAGACACTTATTATGTCACTTTAAACTCACCATGAAGACTGAGTCCTGTCCTATAAAGCGTTGCGATTGATCCAGGTCGATCAAAAGTCCTCCAATCAATCACAATTTTACAAACTCCTTTCTCTTTGGAACAGAGTTGTGACTTGTGACTGATACCAAGTTGCTGCTGATTCAATTTTAATGACGACTGTTTCTAAGAAAGGGCTCTCATTTAGGTGTGCTTGTTTCAGTAAAGCAGGCTTGTTTCCATGATTGAGATTGAAAACCATAATTAGTCTAAGTGTCTAAAATGTCCCTTCTATGATGGAAGAATTGTCGGGTTATGTTAAAAACGATTGGATAAGTTAAAGTTAGGGCTCTACTTATCTTTCAGAGAAAGCATTTGCTAGTAAACCTTTCAACTCTTCATGAATAACGAATGACCAATGTGTATGATATCATGAAACTAGTACACATATTAACAGCTCTGTATTTTTGGATTAGCAACCTGTATTGAAAATGAATTCACAATAATTATTGTAGGGAGGTAAAAAAAAAAATGGCCGACACAAAGATTTAGATAAAGCTCTTTAGTGCCAAGTTCAAGTTTTTATCTCTTTTTCCCCCCAACTTTGCATTATTTAATGTAATAAACCATGATTGATCACAGAGACTTTTTAAAAACCAGCTTAAGGGCATTTTTCAATTCCTTATTCTTCAAATGTGTTTAGGGCTATTGAAATTGCCTAAGTTGATTTTTTGAAGTCTTTGTGATCTGGTTAATGCCACCTGTAGGTTTATTTAAAAAAAAAAAAATATTGAGAGTTGATATGCAAAGCAGGAATTAAATAAATGGTGCAAACATTTCTTAGTGGGAGAAAAAAAATAGGTTTGTACCTCGGAAAAGATTTGATCTGAATAAAATAGTTGTCCTTGTGAATGCCTGCTAACTTTATTTTGTGAAGTGTCCAGAAATACGTTTTGTTTTGCTGATCTCAATTTACTTTATCCCTTAAATGGATTTGTTTCTGATCTGTTTTTTTCTTCTTGTTTCATTAGCTTTTTATACATTTGTACAACATGTTAGAAATTGGGGGGTGGGAGAGAAATGCATGTTTAAAATTAACAGAATAATGTAAAACTCTAACTCAATCAAAAGCATTTGGAAATTGGCTGATTTCCTCTGTTTCAGTTATTGTTTGTGGCAGCAATATTATTTATGTTGTGTTACATTTTTTTCTTCTTTTCTTTTTATTGGGACTCCAAAAAGAGGTGGGCTATTTTTCACCTGCACCTACCTCTAAAAATGATGAGTTTCAAGAATTGTTTCAATTCCTCTATGTCAAGACATTCTCTCTCTTCCACATACTTGATGCTAAGAGGCATCTATGTTCTTCTGATTTATCATTAAAAAAAAAGAAAAAAAAAGGAATGCCCAGACGTTGAAGTGCTGCTTTTTGTTAATAGTGTCATCACAGATCGAAGGTATATTTGAGAAAGATTGTGCAGAGTGAGCTAGTGTATCAGAGAAGTAATGAGTGAGAATGGATGTTGGGGGGAAATTATTGTGGTCCTGAAAAAGTTGAGGACAGTATCGCTCTAAAGCAGAATGATTTGTATAAATGTAATGTATAATTCGGTCAGATGATTTCATAGAATTGCGCCATCGTAATAGTGTGAAGATGTACACCAGAACACTGCAGACTTAAAGAGATGTTCCGAAATTC